AGTTTTCATTTCAATATAAGTTATGCTTTATACTGAGTTATCTCATTAAAACCGAAAAAAATTGAAGATCCATCAAACACTAATTACAGAAGCCTACGAATTTAAACTTCATAAAACTTGTTTTGGTTTTAATAATGGATTTTCCATAATTCAGCTACGCAGACTTCGGAAATAATATTAATTTTTTATCACGTAAGTATTTTTTACAAATCGGGAAGAGAAAGAAAAACTCTTACTTAGATCGAATTATTATTTCGTTTACAACAATGAACCTTTTTTATTGTTGTTTGTGTTAACAAAAATACAAACAAACTGAAGAAAATTGAAAAACGTTGATGTCAAACGAATATGCATCCTCATTTATCCTGATTTTTCGTGAAGTCTACGTCTTTTAGTCTCAAAACTACGTGTTGTGGTCTTTCTTTTATGTATTGCGTTAAAACGTTTTGTGAAAATCTGTATGCGATGGAGAAAAATGGATATCAATTTCGGATTCAGCGTATGGAAATTACTGTAGAACATGTAAAACTTTCAAGACAAGAAGGAAAAGTGCTTCAGCTATACCCTGTTTGTTGTAAGTTGCAGCAGACAAGAGGCTTGTCGTGTAAATGAGCTGATCAGTATGATAATGATCGGCTCGGCCAAGTAACAACATGTTCACTTCTGGTTCACAGTGAGCCAATCAGGCGCTCAGTAAGCGCATTTCATTTACGGTCAGTGTTGGATTTTTCAAGATGGCCGAGAATTCACAAACATTGATCGATAACTAGTCATACTGTTTGAATATTGCGACTGTTTCTAGTTCAAGAAAGTAAAATATTTATATTATTACGCCTATATCTTAAAGTATATTTTGTGTAAGAAACGGAATCAAATAAATAAATAACGTTATCAATTAGTACAGTAATAACTGCTACAACAGCCTATCAGTATCGCTAATTAGTGCACTGTTAATGTTAATTAGTCTTACTGCTAGCCCCCTCCCCAGTGGTACAACGGTATGTCTGCTGACTTCCAATGCTAGAAACCGCGTTTCGACACCCGTGATGGGTAGATCACAGATAGCCCTTTGTGTAGCTTTATGCTTAACTTCAAACAAACAAAGCTTACTGTTTAAATGTTAAATAATGTTGTTTTTATTGTTTCTTTTTTGCATGATGGCGTCTACTACTTTCAGTTTGGCTAAGAAATAGAGATTTCTTTACGCCTATAGTACTGCACTCTGTAAACTCCGTAACAAGAACTGTTTAAGTATTACAGCATCATTGTCATCTTCAAACAGATGAGACAACACGCTAAACACCACCTTTAGTGTTTGTAATCATCTATTTTCATTAGTGGCTTTCAGTTTGGCTCACTGAGTGGTGTATCAAATATGGCACTCAAAACGACATGAGCTGGCAACACTCATTTGTTCATATGGTACCCAAAACGACATGAACCAGCAATATAGTTTGGTTCATATGGCGCCCAAAACAACATAAACCGGCAACATAGTAGCTTGGTTCATATGGCACCTAAAACAACATGAACCGGTAACATAGTTTGGTTCATATAGCACCCAAAACAACATGAGCCAGGAACACTGATTGGTTCATATGGCACCCAAAACGACACGAGCTGGCAACACTGATGGGTTCATATGGCACTCAAAACGACACGAGCTGGCAACACTGATTGGTTCATATGGCACCCAAAACGACATGAGCGATTAACACTGATTGGTTCAGCTACTTGACGAACCTAAGGCCCTTCACTCTATTGGTGCCTGAGCTTTACAGACCAACAAGGTTACAACACCCAAAGTTTAACTCAGTTGATGTGTGTGTGTGACGGATTTACTATTATATATTTATTTTAATATCTAGGTTTCTTTAAATTAAATTTATATTTAGAAATGTACATAACTCATACTGTTACATCTCTATTGCGAAACTCCTGCCCATTCTCTAAAGTTGTAGAAGATTCTCGAATGTAAGAATCAACAACATATGTGTGTATGTAAACGCTAATGTAGCGTTTGTATTGTTGCGTAACCTGAAGTTTCGACAAACTTTCCACAAGCCTATAAATATAACCAACGCGACGCGCCTAAAAACAGTATCTATTATTGGTTTGTTCTAGTTGGTGTGCTATAAACTTCGGAGCTATAATTATGATTGTTATAACGCTTATTAATCGTGAAACTTAAGATATTTGACCAGGAACATTTATAAATTTTGAATGTTACAATCCATTTAACTTCAGTGGATTTGCATCGGACTTTATTACTTTTACGAAAACATTATCTAACGTCATCTGTGGAAAAAATCTGCGTGTGATCAGTGAAGACCACAGAGCTAGCTAGTTCCCTGTTAAATGAATTGTACCTACATCAACTCGAAATTAACTCGCTCATTGTGAACCCTCAATAAGACATCAAGGAAGTTCCAGACTAGAAAGAAGACTCGATATTATTTGTAAATTTGTAAAACTTTTGTATATAAATCATTGTGTGCAATAACTATTTGTAATAACCGTTATTGTAAATTGTATTATTGTTTGTATATTAAAATATATTTGTATCAAAAAGAAAACTATGTATATCAATCTTGTTGGCAAATATCATAAATTGGATACATATCGGCATATATTTAATTAGTAAATCCAAAGAACAATTTAACTCAGTTTTAGGCTATTTGAAATTGTAATACGTAACCTAAAGCTTAACTCAGTTTATGTGTGTAGCTGTACAGACCAGCAGAGCTACAACACCTAAAGCTTAACTCAGTTGATGTGTGTAGCTGTACAGACTTGCAGAGCTACAACACCTAAAGCTTAACTCAGTTGAGGTGTGTAGCTGTTGTTACGGCCATGCAGTTTCAAGAGAGTATTTTAGATGGCTTCAACACAACTCTTGATGTAAACATTTCTGTTAGCACTTTATTTCTATTTAGAAAATCCGAATCTGAGCGTTGGATTTTGGGATTTCTGCTGAAATTTTAACGAAATAACCTCTTGGATGTTTGTTTCTTTTGAATATTCACGTTCGCCCCCCAGTGGCACAGCGGTATGATTGCGGACTTACAACACTAGAAACCGGGTTTCGATACCCGTG